TGGTAGTGTTTTAAATTTGTCGCCATGTGCACAGTTTACTTTTGAGAAGTGAATGCATCCTATTTTTAAATCTCTCTTTGTGCACTTCCCCACGTTTGTCTCCTGAGTTACCCTTGTGCCCCAAGGAACTTCATATCCATCTGGGGAAAGAGGCAGAACCATGTGGAAAGTGAGTAATGGGGCGGACAGGGGGAGAGCTTAGAGCTGCACTGAGGGTGCAGGGGACAGAGCCCTGGGCTGAGGCTGAGGGTGAGCTGGAGTCAGGGCAGAATGGCAGGGCAGGGGGTGAAGGGGAGACCAGGCTTGGACCTGGTCAGGAGGGAAGAGGAGTTGAGTCCAGATGTCGGCAAGGCTGGGAGGATCGCGCCAACCAGGAGATACATGGGAGCTGAGTGGGAAGGTCATGAGTTCAGTGCAGACTGGGAGGACAGCTCTGGCAAGGGGACGGTGTCCTTGCAGTCATCCTGGTAGAAAACTCTCTCTGGCCTTCATCAATACCAGAAACCTTGGCTGGCCGCCAGCCTCCTCTGCTGAGCCATTGCGCCAATAAATAGTTGTTGGCAGATCAATTAAACCATCTAGGAACTACGTCTGGAAATACAATTTCCCTGGCTTGATGCAGGCAGACAAGCCCTCTCTGCCAGTTAGGCCCAACATCCTAGGGTCCCCACTCTCCACCCCCCAGGAAGTCAGCCCAGGACACCACCACCTGCTCTGTGGAGTCAGGCCCTGCTCAGTGGGCAGAATGGGGACAGAGCTGGCCCAGGCAGCAGGGGGCAGGGCACAGGGTTATGACCTAGGTTTAAGTACAGTTTTGCGACTTGCTAGCTGTGTGGCTTTAGGCAAATTCTTCACCTTCCAAGAATCGGTTTCCTCTTTTATAAAACAGAGATAATAATAGTCATGTTGCCTCAAGGTTTATTGTGTGAACCAAAAAAACACAAAAGGAAAAGTAAAATGAGTACATTTGGCCCAAGGCACAGAACATGGGTGGTATCTTTTAAAAAGTATAATTATTATGAGTCCCCAATCAAAGCTGCTCAAGACTCCAACCTGCTTGTCTCTGTCTGTGGCTCCTCGCCACTTCCTGTGTCACTCACATACCGCTCATCGCCCAAGAACTCCATGACAGGAGACAAAGCCAGCCTGTCAGCCCTCCTGGCAGCCAGCATGGAGGAGGAGCCAGGAGCATGAGCCCAGGAGCAATTCCTGAAACCAGCCCAGAGCTGATTCCAAAGGCCTGACCCTCGCAGCAGGTGGGACATTGTCAGTGACATTATCCCATTAACAATCAAAGCATGCCTGGTTCATGGCCACTGCTGGGGCTGCCTTGATGCAACTAGCCTTTTGGAACACGCTGAGAAGCTCTGTGCTGAGCCAAGAGCTTTGAGGGCTGGAGATGAAGCTGATGGGAGGAGGAAACACAGGGTCAGCATCTCAAGGCCCCCCCAATTCATAGCTGAAGGAAAGAGTCCTGCTCACTAGGCCGGCTGAAGTAGCCTCTCCTGTCCAAACTTTTCCTGCGGTGTCTGTGATCATCTCCACAAGGGGTCCACTGGACCAGTCTGCCAATGTGAGTCCTGGTTACCCCAGTTACTAGCTGTGTGACCTTGAGCAAATTACTCAAGCTCTCTGTGCGTCAATTCTTCATTATAAAATAAAGATGATAATACAGGTAGTAGCTCAAAAAGTTGTTACAAGATTGAGTTAGATTTTGTAAAGTGCTTAGAATAGAGCCCAGCACAGACTAAGCTCTATATTACTTTTTGCTGTTATTATATAAGTATTAGTTACTGTTATCGTTATTATTTGGGCCCTGGACCTTGTCACCTGGAGACAGCTGGCCTGTTTGCCTGGCCTCGGTTCCTTTTTTCTCAGCTCACTCAGGTGGCAGAGCCCCTGGGAATGCTGCAGCTCTTTACAGCAACCCCCAGGAAGCTGAGCTGCTTCACTTCATGGCATAGCTGAAGAAACACATTGGCAAAGGAAAGAGCACTTCCAGGAGCTCTTGCCCTCAACAGTCACAAGCTTCAGAGTTAAATGCATTTAGCACTTTCTAAGTCTTGCGTTTATGGTCATAAATATTCAAAAAATAAAAAAAATGGTATAACTCACTTTAATCACATTAGAGGAGAAACCTCTATTAAGGCCATTTTTGTTTTAATCCATAGGTGAACCTCAGGACCCAGCTCAGCTCACTTAGTTAATCAAAGCGGTGAGCACCAATTTCTGTGTGTCTGCCCTGTGCGGGTGAGCTTTATCATGCCCATTTTATTTTACAAAGGAGAACGACGAGATTCAGAGAGAGGAGGTAATCATTGCCCATGGCCTCCTGGTGATTGCTGGGGTCTATAAGGGGCCCTGGACAGAGTCCTGCCCCCATGATCTCATGGGGAAGCAACCCAGAGAGCAGCCCCATCTTTCTGCTCTTGAGCTTGTCTCTAACTGTGGCCACATCCCAGTAGGGTCTGAGTTTGGGGATCTGCCATCATTCTGGCTCAGAACTCTTCTCATGCACAGAACCCTACCTTGGGTCACCTTCCCTGCCTACAGAATCCCTAGGACCAAACCCTTCCAAGTGCCCAGGATCCACTGGTGGCCTTCAGCCCAGGTCACCAGGTATAGGCCTCACAGGGTCCCTTCCCAATCAGCCCCTGCCAGGCTCCACTCCAGCCTCTGCTATGGCCTGTCCCATAGTCAGGGCTCATTCCCCTGACCACGGGCCTTTTGAAGCCCAGAGAAGCTGAGCTCCTTCCTTCTGCAGTTATACCCTGCCTGAGATAGAAAACATTACTCCTATCTGGGGAATAGGCCAGTGCCACAGCAGACAAGTCAATTCTGTCACCAAATAGAAGATGCCATAGGCTTGTCTCATATGATATCATGGACTCTCCTTGAGTCCTCGATGGGCATTCCAGCTTCAGCCGATGAAAAATATTACTGTCAGTGGGAAGTTTGGAACACTCCAAATTTCACTCTCAAGTTCCTTTAGCTTCCTGAAGGATCCAAGAGCTCAAAATGCCCAGAACACAACTGTTCTTTCCTACCCAGGCCCCCAACCCCAGCAAGCACCAAGGCTTGATTGCTCCCAATCCTATCATGTGTGGGAGAACCACTGGCTGCAACCTTGTTAGCACCTTAGCTTTGTGCCTGGAAACCAAACAACAGATAATACCCCAATGTGAATCAATACCCAAGAGGAATCCCACCTTGGGGGTCCAACTGTTGGCTTAGGTAGCTCCCACTGGGTATCAACATCAGCCTTTAATCCCGGCTACCATATTATTGGTGTCACCACACAAGATCTCACAGTAGCTATGAAGGGGATCTGATACTGACCCAATTTATAGATGAGTAAAAAGAGATGTAAGGCGTTAGAGTGACTGACTCACCAAAGACACAAAACCACTGAACATTAGGGATTCAATTGGAAATAAGGCAGATCAGATTCAAGAGCTGTACACCTAGTCCACCTGTCCAGTCCAGAGATCAATTCTGGCAAGTAAAATTTCCAATTCTGTATAAAGAGAGTGTTGTTGGTGTTGGTTTTCTCAGCACTGAGGTTTGCGTGGTCACCATGTCTGCAAAGGATCCAGACATTCTCCACAAGGCAGTGAGATGACTAAACTAGCCTTCTCAGGACACACTCATATGCTCCTAGATTGAACCAGTTAATCAGAGCAAACAAAACAACACTGTGCCATTCAAAGGCAATCTTAGTCCAACAACCACGAAAATAAAATATGAGCAAGAATGTCACCAATTATACCAGGGAGCTGAGCCTACCAGCCACTGTGGGCCTGCTGCCCTTGAAAAGCCAACCCACCCTGCATTTGAGTAAGTGTAAATCTTACTTGAGTAAAATCTTGTCCTTGAGTGTTACTCTCAGTCCCTCAACTTACAGGGGAAGCATGAAAAAAGAGTGGGCTCCAGAGGCTGACAGACCTGGGGAGACCTGGTGCTAGCTCTCTGTAGCCCCACTCCTCAGTTTTCTCATCTCTGAAACGGGGCAATTATAGCTCTCCTTTAAAATGAATAAACTGAAATTCTGGCTTTCGGTGCCCACCTCTGTGAGCTACGTCAGGGGTGTGGCAGGGCATCTGTTTGGACAAGGAGTGTATGAGCCCACCGGGTCCCACCCGCTGTTGTGGGATAGGCGTCCATGTGGCCCTCTGTCCAGAGGCCACCCTGCCTCCAGGAGTGGCTCTATCCGAAGACCAGTAACCATTTCTGCTATTGCTGCTTCACAGGATGACTGAATACGTTAAATGAGAGGAGACCTCAGAATTGTTAGGGGTCGAACCCAGCAGCCTACGGGCTTATCTGCAGCCGGCAAGGGTGTTTCCAGCGGCAGCCTACTTTAAAATTAGGATAGTTCACACAAAATCTAGATTTCTGGGCCCTCTTGGAAAAACCAGAAGATTCCGCAACTTACAACTCTCATTCCCATGAGCTAGACAGGAGAGGCAGCTGCCCCCTTCAACACAGTTCACTAGGAAGAGCTGGAATTTGGGTGTTTAGCCCTACACACAGGAGGTGGTCGATAAATGATAGTTGCTGTCACTCACTACTTATTATTTATCAGTGACTTCAGCGCGGGGCACTCCAGGACAGGGCCTGTGCCTTCCACTTGCCACTCTCCTGCTGGGAGCGGGAGTCTGCGCACACAGGGGACCTCACTTCGCATAACCCTTATCAGGTGCCCCTCTTCCAGTCCCTTCACATGCATTACTCTTGCTCCGCCTTCAACGCAATCCCAACCAGGACTGCGAACACCGGGCCACTCCTGCAGATAGGGAAACTGAGGCACGGCCCAAGATCAGGAAGCCAGCAGAGGGCTAAGAATCAAGCCTAAGAGCCTGGCCCCACCCTCCACTTGGCAGGGTGACCCCCAGTGCTATGGGGGGGGCTCCCCTGCCTCCGGCCTCCCTCCCCAGGCCCCTCAGGGGCAGGACAGACGGACGCAGGGCCGCCCCGCCCCGCGCGGACGCCGCACTTACGGTCAAGGCCGTTGATGTAGCGCATGGTGACTTCGCAGTGGCCCCACACGGCGCTCACCACCGGGTACAGCTTCTTGCCCTTGAGGCCGCGGAAGGCCACGCCCAGGTACTGGCCGTCCACGACGAAGCTGAGCGTGCCCTCGTCCATGTCCAGCACCACGAGCAGCGAGTCGGGCAGCGCGAAGGCCTCCTCGGGCCCCAGGAAGGCGGGGTAGGCGACGCCCGGCCGGTTCTTGCCGTCGTGGTAGAGGCGGCTGCGGCCCAGGTCCCAGCCCCACGACTCGGCGTCGCTCCCCACCAGCGCCGTGTAGCCCACCGAGTG